AAGACCGTTGGAAAATCTATTCAGCGATGATTATGGGGGATGATCTATGGATCTGCATTATGGTATTAAATAGTGAATACACTTGAAGGATAATGAATTAACTTGTTGACATGTATCAATTTGGGAGTTGTGTAACTCGAGTTGTTTGATAACACGATCGATAGTCATAGATTGTAAATGACTTTCATCTTCGATTCAATATTTTCATCTAAAATCACTTCGGTCATGTTTGAAAACGCAAGTAACACAGAAGGAAAAGATTCTGAATACCTCATTTGGTTCAATTAGGCTGAAATCCTATGAATTCAAAGTATATTCCTGAATACCCCTGATTGTTTGGGTAATGGAATCACTCGTAATAAATTGGAATTTAGAATTATTATGTATAAAGGTTCCTGAACGTTTTCCTGATGCACATGGAAACTTAGTGGAATTCTAAAGTATCAATCTGAAATGTCTGTTTAGATCGATTAGTAATCAATTCTCTTCAATAGGACCTCGTTCCTGGAATATGATCAAATTGCATAAGTTTTCTTCTATCCAAACTGATGACTACAAAATGCCTCTGATAAATATTGGTATTTCTCTACTGTGTTCCTTATATTTTAATAAATTATTTTATTGTTTTAACATGTGGTATACTGAAATCTATGGTTACTGTTTTATGGATGCACCGACTTAACGGTGATGGCTTATGGATTTGTATCATTGTATGAACTGTATCTTAGAGATACATATTTGTAAAGTACAACTCTGATCAAGCTGGAAAAATTTTATGGACCTAATGTGACTCTTAGGTAGGCTCTGCGGCCCTGAGATCATTCTCGGGTAGGCCCTACGGCCCTAAGATGTGTTCTTAGATAGGCCCTACAGCCCCGAAATCTATCTTGGGTAGGCTCTCAGGCCCTAAGATGTTCCCTTAGGTTAACTCTTTGTAAGATGGTTTTAAAATACGAGTTTAAAAAGCTCCACTACAGTTTGGTTTATGGGATTTTACTGAACTATCTTTTGATTAGTGTACCTATTATGATTTTATCGTACTGATGGAACACACTAGACATCCTATTCGACCTCATGAAAACATGACTGTATGAAAGGTTTCTTATGAACTGACATGACTTCTATTCGTTGAACTACCAGTGGAACTCCAGATTATTCCGAAAACCGGTATATGTTTGATTAAATAAGAAATGATATGGCTTTCCATTTATTGGCATGTCTTGCAGCAGCATATGGTAATTCTGTATTACTGAATTTTCCGAAGCTCACTCTATTACTCACCATTACAGGTTAAAAGAATTGTACCAGTGCGTCTATCGAATTCAGTAAGGGAGCTCTTCCGGCGTTGTTTACAGAGTATGGTACATGTGATTAGGGGGCATGTAGATTGTATTTTATTTTTATATCAGAGTCTGATAAACCCGTTTTATTTCTGAAAAATAATAAATCATTGTATGATTTTACATGTTTTAAGAAAAATTTTAAAGTTTTTTCTATTTCTACGGTGGGTCGCTCCGGTGGCCCAAATGTGATGCTCCAGATCGGATCTGGCTATCTGCATCGGTCTTAGGGGGTTACAGAAAATTTGTCTTAAGGAAACTGTGCGATAGACCTCAAACTGATTCTGATCACAAGATCAAATATAAAAGAGTTTTTTTTTACTTTTTAATTCTCTTTTACTTTAAAGAATTTGATTTCTTTCTTTAACTTTTTCTCAGGTTCCATTTTGTCTCAGATCGTTACTCTAGTTAACATAATCTTCATATCAAATATAAGAAAGGCTGTGAAAATCTAGTTGATGACCATCTAAGTTGACTTCATATCTCTTAATTCAATGCACCAGTTCAATAAGAATTACCCGAGGAACACCTATTTTTGACGTACAGATTCTATGGTATGTCGATATGGTTAATTACTTGGTCACTGAGGTACTTTTATCCGATTTAAACAGTTTTGAGGTAAGCCGTATCAAACGAGAATCTCAATTTTCTATTTGGAATGATCTATATATTTGGAACATTGCCTCGATTAGGTAATTTGTTGTTGCGTTGCCGAAAGCGAGGTAAATTATATCCTTAATGTATGTCATTCTTATTCTTGTGGATGACTTTGGAACGAAAAGAATCGTGCATAAAATTCTTGAATATGAATTTTACTGGCCTAATATTTTTCGTGATGCATATGTGTTTTGTAAATCTTGTGAAAAATATAAGCATGTTGGTAAGTTAAGTCGTTGTAATGAAATACCTCTTAATCCGATTCATGTTTATAAGATATTAGATGTATGAGGTATTGATTACATGGGTCATTTTGTTTCATCCTTTAGTAATTGTTATATTACTCTTATTGTTGATTATATATCGAAGTGGGTGAAAGCTAAAGCTACTCGCAATAATGATGCTAAAACTACAACAGATTTTCTAAAATATTTTATATTTTCCAAGTTTGATACTCTGAGAGCGATAATTAGTGACCAAGGAACGCATTTTGTTAATCGTGTCATCGAGACACTTAAAAAGAAATATGGAGTCACTCAACGAATCGCCACGGCTTAACACACTCAAACTAATGAACAAGCGAAAGTTTCAAACCAAGAAATCAAGTCGATTCTTGACAATATGGAGTCGCTCAACGATGCCCTGTCGCTCAACGATGCCCTGTGGGCATACGTACCGCATATAAAGTTCTCATCGGCATGTCCCCATATCGCCTTGTTTTGGGTAAATCGTGTCACTTACCGGTTGAATTAGAACATAGAGCATACTGGGTTGGTTAAAGAATGTAATATGGAGATGGATGTAATAGGCGAAGAAAGAAAATTGCACATTCAAGAGTTTGAAGAAATTCGTCGCAATGCTTACGACAAAGCTCTAATATATTAGGATAAAACTAAAGATTTTTATTATCGTCGTATTTCATTTAAATCTTTCAATGTTGGTGAAAAAGTGTTGCTTTTTAATTCTAAATTGAAAATCTTTACAGGTAAGTTGTGAACGAAGTGGTCAAGACCCTTTACCGTGACTCAAGTATTTTCCCATGACATAGTTGAAATTCAAGACTATTCAAGAATTTGTTTCAAAGTAAATGTTCAACGGTTGAAGCTGTATTAAGAAAATAATCAAGCGTGTATGATCGAGGAAACTATTTTAAAATAGCATGAATCAATTCGTCGAACTATAAGACGTTAAATAAAGCGCTTGATGGGAGACGATCCATTTCATTTTCTGTTTGCTTATTTTCTATTTATGTTCAATTTTATTTTGTTTATTTGATTTTTCTATGCGTTCGTTTTATTTTATTTTGAATTTTTAAGTACACTAGGAAATTTGATCGAGCTTAGAACCATGACCATGGAAGTTGTCGAACATAAAACCATCGTGCGCCACAACCAAAGCCAAAAGCTCAACATTAGCACATTAGCAAATCCCTTAGGACTCCACTTGTTTTTCTCAACTCACTATTCATCTTTTATTTCTTTTCCTAAAAATCGAATTCCCATCGATTAATATACCACATGCATGTATTAAGTAGCTAATTTTCTTATTGTTAAAGAAAATATATTTATTATGGGTTTAATTAATCATTATAATTGTAAATTTTTATTATAATTTAAATTTTTTTATTTTTTAACAAAATTAATTGCATCTGTAAAAAGAAATGATTAACGAGTAATGAGGTGGGAAGTGGGAAAGAAAGTAAAAGTTTGACAACTAAAGAGATGAATTTGGGTTGGGATTGATGGTGATCGTGCATTTTTCTGATTGCAGATGCCATGGTGATCATCATCAGGTGAATCCCTAAATTACAATATATATATATATATATAGGCCAGTCAGTGAGTGCGGCCACCATTGAAAAGAAAAATCACCGACAGTGGCCCATGTGTTGTCCGAATATCGAAGCACCATCATCCTTTCTTTCTTTCTTTCACCACTCCTATTATGTATTTTCTTTTCCTGCATAAAGACAGCGTGGAAAAAGAATAAAAAAGGCAGGCCAGGGATCGTCAACATTTTCAACCTCACACATAGCTGTATGTATGATTCTTTGTTGACCAAACACACACACACGGAGACGAGGAAATGCGTTGCAAGAGGGGAAATAAAGGGTTACCTTACCTTCTCTAAATATCGTTGTGTGGGAATTAATGGGCTTTTGAATTTTATTTTTAATGTAATTGAAAATTGATTTCTAAAAAAAACACGTGAATATGTGGGGGTATAAACATTTCGAAGTTCAAAGAGCAGGTTTGCTCTGCACTTTGATTATGTTCTTTGTCTGTCTGTCTGTCTTTTTTATCAACGAAACCGCCTCATTTCAGGTGGAGACCTAAGTTTCATGCCGTTGATTTATCATTAAAAAAATTAATACCTTTTCTATTCGGCTTCAAATATTTTCACGAGAAAACTCTGACACATTGTATTGACTGAAAACGGACACCGGAAGCCCATGTGTTAGGTCTGACTTCCCCGTGAGGACAAAATAATGCAAGCGGCATTACTGGAGTGGACAAGTGGTATGTTCTCGGAGAGTTTTAGGTTTTGCTTATTCGGGGAAGCAGATCAATAGATATATGTTCCGTCTTCCTGCGAATATGTAATGAATGAAGAAATCCATCCTACTGGTGTTCTTTCTGGGCTTTAATTATTGCAGGATTGGATTGTCCTCGTTTAGTTTAGGGATTCGAGGATATCAGAGGAGATGTGCCAAGCCCAGCCACATGAAAGCCATACTCGTGGAAGAACATAGTTATGGGTTCAATTTTCTCTTTTTTCAAGTCTTCGGCTTGTCTGTGTATAAAGCCCATATGGAATAACGAATATTGAGGAATGTACCAGAAATAAAGTGACGTGGCAGGCTTGTCTATAATGTTCTAGAGAATGATTTAATCCTAAAACAGATTAATCTTCTCTACACTAGAATGCTTGAGAAGGCAACCACAAAGATGATCTTCTGAAGACTAGAATTCTCTTCAAGCCCTATAAAACCCTCATCGCAGCTGCTTCAACGACTCAGACAAGCAAAGCAAGACTAATCAAGACAGACTCAATTTTCCCCGATAATCTCGGTTTTATCTCCTGAAAATGTCACTGATTCCAAGCTTCTTTGGCAACCGACGCAGCAACGTCTTTGATCCATTCTCTCAGGACATATGGGATCCCTTAAGGGACTTTCCTATGTCTACTTCGTTCATCACACAAACCCCAGAGACCTCGGCTTTTGTGAACACCCGAATCGACTGGAAAGAAACCCCGGAAGCGCACGTGTTCAAGGCTGATGTCCCTGGGCTCAAGAAAGAAGAAGTGAAAGTGGAGGTTGAAGATGATAGGGTGCTTCAGATTAGCGGAGAGAGGAAGGTGGAGAGGGAAGACAAGAACAACACATGGCATCGCGTGGAACGTAGCAGCGGCAAGTTCATGAGGAGGTTCAGGTTGCCCGAGGATGCTAAGATGGATCAGATCAAGGCTGCCATGGAGAACGGTGTGCTTACTGTCACTGTTCCTAAACTGCAAGTGACGAAGCCCGATGTTAAAGCTATTGACATTTCTGGCTAAGTTTAATGTCTTCGCCACGATGCATTACTCTAGTTACTTTCACAAGTTGAGTGTCTTTAACTCTGTCGGATCAGAGTTTAGTTCCCCACGTGTGATATATATATATATAAAGAGTAATCGGAATAAATTTCGGAATTTTAACTAGAAAATGCTCCACTTTGCATTATTAGTTACGTTTTCTCAACGTGTAAAGTTCTATCCATTATCTTTTATATAAGCTTTCCTCGAGACTTCTTCCCCTTTGATCACCGAAACATTGCTGATAATTAAATCCCGATTGAAGCACAAATACTTTCCGGGGTTGAGCTCCATCGGCAATGGCTCCAGCAAATCTGCTAAAGCCTTATGGGCCAACACTTTCTTTGAGGTTGGCCATTTCTTCAATAATTTCCTTGAAATCTTCAGGTAACGATGAACCTGCCCTGAGCCCTCTACAAGAAAGGCTCTTTACTGTTCCTCGGCCCCTTAGCCGTTTGCCACGACACAACTCCTGATTCACGGAAGCTTTTATTTGATTTGTGTAATTGAGGTTTGTGGCAGCAGTGATGGTTCTCACATGATGCTTGTAAAGTATCTTGCTCTTGTCACATGATGCTTGAAATTAATAACGTATTTTTTTAGCTGTATATTAAGATTGCTGTATAATAGAATATAACTGCTTGTTACAATCATCTTCATCTCTAAGAGATTTTTTGGAGAGGGATTTTGCTGCTGATGTTGACTCAATATGACATTTTATATCCATGAAAATATACTTGCCAAGTTATAAGCTGGAAGTTCTATAAGCAGTTTTAATATACGATTAAATATATATGTTATCTATTTTGTTATTATTTTTTTTTAATAAAATCAGTAAAAATTATTTAAAATATTATTATTTTTATCTAAAAATATTAATGTTTTTTTAACATTTTCGATAAAGTGTAATAATAACAAAATCGATAATATTTTATTGGATATATTAATAAAATCGATAAAGTGTTCTATAAAAATAAAATTGATAGAAATAATAATATTTTTGATAATTTTTACTGATTTTATTAAAATAATAATAATAAAATAATAATATCTTTCTTTAGACGTATATTAAAATTTTCGGTCAGTCAAACTTTCCCGTTATAAGCGTATCTGGTGTCATATGCTTTCCGATAAAACATAAAACTATAAAATCAGAAAAAGATTTGCTAAAATCCAGGCGGAATTGTTCAAATTGAATTAAGATCAACTGTTTACATTTATCAATGAAACAATATATTATCATTTTGCTTATAAAATAATTTAGCTAACCCTATTCCCTTATGTAATGGGGTGAGAGGGAGGTAAGGTAGTAGACTGTCCCCAACGTCAGATTGAGAGTAGCTTCCGTGGAAGACCTGCGACAGTCAGAATTATAAATTTTGCTTATAAAAAATTCTCTCAAATAAATTCATCCAAATATTGTGTAAGTATAATTTTTAATAGGGTAAAGTATAAAAATAGTCATTTTAATTATAAAATATTATTTTATTATATTTTCCTACTATTAAAAGTTACAAAATAATCCTCTAACTATAAGACGTTTTTCTAAATTTTCGATTATTAAAAGTTATAAAATTGTCACTCATTGCGTATTTTTTTGTAAAAAAAATGATGACAATTTGAACAAGACATCAACTTATTAACTAAGATATGATAGTATTTTAAGATTTTAAGATCATGTTATATCAAGTCTTAATCAATAGTTAACTTCGTACAGTCAGAAGACTCGATAAAACAATATTCGAAGATTATTTATATACTTTACCTTTTTTAATATTATGCAAATACTTTCTTTTAATATTATTTTATGTTTTTTTTATAACCATTAATATTTGATTTATTAATCAACTAATTTGAATTTTACAGTAAAGTCGATCATTTCATCCCAGTTACTCTGTTTGTAATCACCAAAATTCGAACTCATGATTTTACTTAAGAGATTCAGTGTCTCATCTTATTAGATTAACTCGTTGGTAAAATACTTTATGTTGGATAATTATTTTTAATAGTGACCACTCACATAATAATTAAAATTATATATATATAACTTGATTAAGAAGGAATAATTAAATAAGCAAAGCCAGAGAGACTGTGGACTAAGGCAGGAAACCATGAGAAAACTTGCATTTGGTAGTTGGGTTACATTCACTTCTGCTAGGGATGAAGTGAGAGAGATAAAACAAGACAGTCGTTATTTTAAAAATTATAAACTATTATATATATTAAAATATTATTTATGTTTATTAACAATATAATTTAGTTCTTTAATCTTCTATAAATTTTTGAAAAATAGATAAACACCTAAATTATTAATTTTTGATATATTTCAATTCTTTAATTTTTATTTTTTAAAATTTATATCTAACATATAATTTTTTTATTTAAATTTAAAAATTTAACAAGCTTAATACTTATATAATTTTTTCATTTAAATTTAAAAATTTAACACATTTAATATTTAAATTATAAATTTTGACATATTTCAATATATAAATTTTAAAAATTTTAACGAGATACTAAAATAACCTTATTTAAAGTATAAATAATTATACCAACAGAAATTAATTCAAATGATACTAGAGATTTACCTATTAAAATTAAATGTGCGACCTATCAGTCTAAATTAATCAAAATAAAATTTTAAAATTAGAGGATAATAAAATAAATGTGAATAATTATTGATTTACATTGACAAAAATTATTCACTGGGGCTTGATATTTGCAACTTAATTAGAGGGATAACCCATAGAATTTGACCTACTATGAACAACAATCTCCCTAAGTTATAAGCTGTGGATTTCCGATAGGTAAGAAGCAAGGCCGATTCTGATTATTTTTTTTAGGCTCGGGGCGAAAATAAAAAATAAGCCCCTAATATAAAAATTTAAAAAAAATATATAATATAAAAATTTTATTAGATTTTTTTATTAAATTAAAAAAGTAATTCATTACAATATAAAAGATGTCAAAAATATATTTAAGAATACAAATACTTATAAAAAAATATTACATTCGATCATTTTATGCAAAACCATTGATGATAGTATCAACATCAATGCTTTCCAATATATTTTTCTCAATACATAACATATCATTTGAAAAATAAAAGAACGGTCTTACCTAAAATTTGAAAATATATAAAATTAAAAGAAAGAATTTGAAAATGTGGTCTACCTAGAATTTTAAGAACAATCTTCAATAGGATTTAAGCATCATAATTGATAATAAACAATTGTGACTTTACGTGTGAGAGAAATATGATGAATTAAAAAATGAGAATAATAATTTTCAGATGAATCAACATGAAAGAGAAAAGAAGCATGCTAATTATATTTAAATTTTTCTTCTCGTCAAGTTTTGAAAAAAATAATGTTAATAATTTTTTTTATTTATATGATAATCGAGAAAGAGATTTGGTGAATTGATATTGAGAATTTGAAAAGACCAAAATTAAAGAGTTCAATTGAATTTTTTTTTTTGAATTTTAAGAAAGAAATATTAAATTATAATTTTATGGAAGAATAATTTATTAACGTTAATATAAAATTCAATAAAGATAATTGACACCTTAATAAAATTCATGGGCCCTATTATTTTATTGGGTAAATTACGTGTTTAGTACTTAAATTATCAGTTTTGGTCTGTTTTATTACTTAAACTTTCAATTTTTTCAAAATCATACGTAAAGTTTAGTTTTTGTTTCGTTTTAGTATTCGCCGTTAAAAAACTTTAGTCTTTTTATTTCATTTTAGAACATATTCAAAATTTAATGTTAAGTTTTAAATTTTTTAAAATTTTAGATACTAAAACAAACAAAAACTGATAGTTAGATACCTAACCCGTTAAGTACGGATACTAAAATAAAATGAAAACTAAACGTTAGATATGATTTTAAAAAAATTAAAAGTTTAAGTACCAAAATGGATTAGAGCTAATAGTTTAGGTACTAAATTTATAGATTAATCTATTTTAATTTTTAATTTTTTTTAATTTATTATAAAAAATAAAAAAATTATACTAAAAAAATTTTATTTTCTAGGCTCTAGGCAGGCGCCCCTCCTGCCCTGACTAAGGCTGTAAATGGGACGAGATAGATCGCGAGCTACTTGAGATCGACTGGATCATGGCTAGATAAATACTCGGATCAAATGGACTCGACTCGAGCTAGAGCTTGACTTGAGTTCTTAACAAGCCGAAACGAGCTACTCGATATTCGACTCAAAAAGCTCGTGAGCAGCTCGAAAAAATGTTATATTATAATTTTAGATTTTTTAAAATTACATTATTAAAAATATATTAAAAATGCATTATTGATAATTATAAAATTTTAAAAATATATTTAAAATTCTTTATCTAATGACAAATATTTAATATATTTCTAATGATAATATTTTTAATAGAGAAAATAACATCAGTGACAAAAAATGTCTTATAATATACGATTTTAACAATGTTTTTTTGGATTTGCCAAAATGACCAACTAAATCGCAATGCGATCGATAATTCGCAATGCGATCTCCGGTCGTGGTCGTGGTAATACGTGTCTTCGACACGTCCGCGCGAATACTATCTTTTTAGAGAAAATTCTTAAGAAACAAATGCAATACCGTCGTTGCGATTTTGGACTATCGCAAAGAATTTAGAATAAATCGCAACGCGAACTTCGACTATCGCAACGAATTTGGAATAAATCGCAACGAATTTAGAATAAATCGCAACGCGAACTTCGACTATCGCAACGAACTTGGAATAAATCGCAACGTGAACTTGGACTATCGCAACGAATTTGGAATAAATTTGGACTAAATCGCAACGAATTTGGAATAAATCGCAACGCGAACTTCTACTATCGCAACGAACTTGGAATAAATCTCAACGCGAACTTGGACTATCGCAACGAATTTAGAATAAATCGCAATGAATTTGGAATAAATCGTAACGAATTTGGAATAAATCGTAACGAATTTGGAATAAATCGCAACGCGAACTTCGACTATCGCAACGCGAACTTGGACTATCGCAATGCGAATATGTAAATCGCAATACGATAGTCGAAGTTCGCGTTGCGAATCTGGAAACTGATTTGCGATACCGGAGATCGCGTTGCGAATTATCTATCGCATTGCAATTTAGTTGGTCATTTTGGCAAATCCAAAAAAAGTTGGTTAAAATCGTATATTATAAGCATTTTTGGTCACTGAGGTTATTTTCTCTTTTTAATAACTAATTTTTTAAATTATTGTTATATTTTGAGGTTTTGATTTAAATATCATAAATATCAAGGGTTTGAGTATTTAATATCAAGATACTATATTGTACTTACCTCATAAATCGTTACCAAGTCGATTAATTAATGTATTTGAAATGAACCCTAAACCCTTAATCTAATTATGTGATAGGGGTTAAGTTATGCATATGAAGGTAATATACAAATTATGCAAAATGATGTTATGTGACTTCTAAATAAATCATTCACATACTTATACATAAACATATCAACATGCAAAATAAATATACACAACTTGCTAACTGATACATGATTTTATCATATCTTAATGATGACTATCGACACCGTCATTGCTTTTAAGCAGTGACTCACCAACATAATATTTCAAGAACTGATTCGACGATATAATGTAAACGGAGATTTGATGTACAAATACAACTAAAACGATGGGATCATAGTGTTCCATAGGAAGAAATACATCTAGAACAACCATATTGGCTAATTGTTGTCGTGTTGGGGCCTTTATGTCGAACTCCCGAAAATGTCGATTTCAATTTACATATATTTGGAGTTTGTTAACAAAGATTCAATAAATTAATTACTAAAAAAAAACTAATTGATATGTCATATCTTTGTCTACATGAAATAGACAATTCGGTTGCTTCATAATTTCTTGTCTCCTTAGTTTTAATATTCGAACTGGAAAAAAAAAATTTCTCATACAGACTGCAATCTGCAGGGCAGAGCAGATTAGGAGAATCTGAATGATTTTTTTGTTGTTGGCAATCATATGATTTCAGTTATCAAAATATGAGTTTAGTTTTGGTTTGAGCCAACAAAACATGTATTAAGATTCCTTAATTACATGCTATAACTGTTGGTCTTAAACTTTAGTTATTGGAACAATCTTAATTGTTCCATTGATAAAAGAACTCGATCCTTTGGCTTTCAGCTCTGTACCTAGTACAAAAATGGAAGCTTTTTGGTTAAAAGAAGGGGGGGGAACAAATTGAAATGCATGGACTGAGTATTGACCTTAGCCAAAATCAGCATGTTACAATGGTTACTAGCCAGGTAATTGTGATCCTTCACGTCTGTTCTTCTGGTTGCATCATGGCATTCAGCGAAGTTTAATATACCCCGAGTTATATATTTGAAAATTCTTCAAACAACACCACTATGGCCCATTTCCAAGGCTCATGTAAGTGCCCTACACTCGTTTGGCTACTGCGGTTCCTTGCGACAAACTGCCAGCCTCACAAAAGCAATCATGCTCCCTAAAGATCGATGATATTCTTTTCTTCAAAGCTTGATAATGTGACCATTTTATGTGCACAGGCAATGATGTTCTGTTGGTTGTAATTAAGATGTTGGAATCAACAAAAACAAGCTGCAGTGATATCAAGGCTTGATGAACGGTGCACATATACTGTATAATGGTATCTTTGAGTCATGATGAGTGCTGTGATTAAATAGATGTTTTTTTCCCTAAAAAAACAAGAGATTGTTTTGCATATACAATGAACACGATACAAAAATTGCATGCAGAATCAAAGTTTGTTTGAGCATTTTCATGTTTATATTTTCTTCCTGAAATCGAGATGAATTTGTAAAACTGAATAGTTGTTGATATTTGCACATATATTCATCTTTCATTAAGAATATATGAAGGTTACCTGTGTGGATGTGAAGGGATTAATATTCCATATGTTGGAAGGTTTGACAGTATTTTACAGTTATGAGTCGATGCGACTGAAAGAAGAAAGAGAATATATATATATGCGTGTGGGTTAAAGGATTGTTATTGACAAGAAAAGAATTGAATTTTTTTTTCTTGTGATTATTTATCTTCCTTAACCCATGAAGTTATAGCAGGAAAAAAATAGAGAAAAGTCAATCTTCAACCGGCTGTTTTCTATTTCAGGGCCATCAAGTTAAAATTTGTTGGCTGCCTAATATCCACATCATAAAGATTTAAAGAAACAAGACGAGAAGCAGCTTATAAAAGAAGCAGGATTGAACGTGGAAAAGCATACTTTTTGAGCTCAAAATGGGGCTTCATTGAGCTTGAGTTTTAAGCTTTAATTCAATTCTTGAATTTTTTTTTTTTTTTTGAGTTTGAGCTTTTTTAAGTTTAATAATTTTTAGTTTGCGATTTTAAACCCTAGACCCGGGGCCAGCCCTGGTAAGAAGGTTCCAGAAAGTTAATGAAAATGAAGGAACCACTTGCATTAATTAATTCAAATTTGACAGTTTTAAATGCGAGACCCTAATTCGACATCATTCAGCAACAAGAAAATGAAATTCATGCTTGTTCATCTCAAACAAAACACAAGAAAAACGTAAAGTCAAAACAGAAACTTGAAGCAGCAAACAACTTTTTACAAAAACCCTTCAAACAATTGAGTTATTAACCAGAAATGACAATGGATTTGACATCAGGTTTCTTCACTTCCACCTTAGGAACAGTGACTGTGAGAACCCCATTCTCCATGGAAGCCTTAACTTGATCCATCTTCACATTCTCCGGCAGCCTAAACCTCCTCGAGAACTTCCCACTGCTCCTCTCCACGCGGTGCCAGGTGTCGTTCTTGTCTTCCTTTTCAATCTTCCTCTCACCACTGATTTGAAGCACCCTGTCATCTTCAACCTCAACTTTCACTTCCTCTTTCTTAAGCCCCGGAAGATCAACCTTAAAGACGTGAGCTTCAGGGGTCTCCTTCCAGTCGATGCGGGTGTTCGCAAATGCAGAGGTTTCAGAGGAACTTGTTATCGCGAGGGAAGAAGGGAAAGGGAATTCCTTGAAAGGATCCCAAACATCAAGAGAGAACGGATCGAAGACGCTGCTCCTTCTGTTAACAAAGAAACTTGGGATCATCGCCATTTTCTCTTGCACTATCGAAACAAGGATAGACACGAAAGCTGAACAAATGGAAAATCTAAAGTTTTCGACGCTTATTATTTCTTGTTGCAGATTAGCTACGACATGTTGGGTATTTATAACCAGCTGGAGAGGGATCTAGTAATTTCTCCAATTTTCCTTTGGATTTTTTTTATTTTTTGCCTTTCTGGACCTAAAATCTAGTAAGTTCGCGGACATTAGAGAATGGCCTTGAGTGGTCTGGATTCTTCGTTATTCAAATGGGCTTTCCTAGATTAAATAAAATTATAGATACAAAAATTATATTATTTTTTATTGAATTTACTCTCTCTCTTATTTTATTTATAATATTTTTAATTATTTTTATTTACTCATTAAATTTTTAAATCGGTCATATTTTGATCATTTTAAATTATTTTATTATTACTTTTTATATGATGTGGTATTTTTTATTATTATTAAATATAAAAATAGTTTAAAATAAATAATAAAATAATATTTATTATTATTAACTTTAAAAAGACTTAAAATAATTATCGTCCATCATCGATCACTGTCCACCATCGTCGATCTTCAAAATTATTTTTAAATTAAATACTAATAAAAAAATAAAATATTATACAAAATTTGTAACATCTCCAACCCGTATCCGACCCAATACGAATATGAGGTGTCACATTGACTTTTCAAACTTTGACACTTGACCAAATTCAAAGAAAATTTAAAACTTTCATTAACATAAAAGCGGTTTATTTACATGAAATGACCAAAACAACAAAAAATTGATCAGAGCATTCATAACTGACACTTTTCTTACATGTCAACAATATACACGACAAAATACATACTTTATCAGTTACTCCTGATCTGATCTTCTGGCAGTGCTGCTGTTCTTGCTACTCATATTTTTGTTCTTCCCGATTCTTGGTACCTACGTGTAAATCATTTACACACTAAGTCATAGACTTAGTGAGGCAATAAATAAACATGTAAATATGACAATAAGTTCATGAACATGCATTCTTTCCATATGATCATGACAACTTTATTTGCATGCATCTATTTCACTATAATATATATATAATGATATCATGTACACATAACACATATATTCTCATGCTAATTTCACTTTAATTTATCTTTGGATTGCCCATGTACATTATTGAGAACAAAGGTATGCGAGTACATAGAGGTTGTGCACTATGCTGTCACCACAGCTCGTATAATTCCCTCAAGGGGCACTGAATATTTGTCCCGAAGGACCATTATGTCCCGAAGGACCACTATGTCCCGAAGGACCACTGATAATCCCTCGACTCTTAGTATGCCAATTATACCTACAACTATCATATTAAATAACATGGGCTTAATTATAAATACATTTATCATTTCATCTCTTTCATCACTGTCCATATAACCACATAAGTCACTTCATCTGATCATTTCCATTATTTCATATACCTGGAAGAATTCTCTGATAATAACATTCATTCATATAATTTCATGTTAATCATGAATGAAGAATGCATGGAATCACTATAACATTAACACATATGTATGTATGAGTGTATATGACTATGGAATCATAAATTCAATGATAAGAGATAGACTTATCGCAAGTCTTATCTCAATTCCATTTCATCTAGGATATACACTCACCTTAGCCTTGCTTTGGCTCGATTCTAATCCTTCGATTGTTCTGGAACGAGATTACGTTCTAAATCTATATAGTAGTACATTGATACATATCAGTATACTAATTGATATATTCTAAACTATCACTCCTTAGGCTAAAAAGAAAGCCATTTTTATCTTTTAATGAAGGTATGCATCGATGCATCCCTTGACGGGTGCATCGATGCACTATTTATGCATCGATGCATAATTCTCATTCGATGTTTGTATTTTAAGCAGGTGCATCGATGCACTCCTTATGCATCGATGCACTCCCTATGCATCGATGTTCATTTAATTGAGAGTGCATCGATACACATTGAATGTGCATCGATACACACAACCCAGAAATGACACTTTGAGCACGAAAATCCCTTCCTGATCCTCTCAACTCTTCATATATCACCCCTTTTTATATTCTTAACTTTTATACACCTATTTAAACTAATTAATACTCATTCAAAATCTCTTAACCTTCAAAATCCATTTCTCCCCATAGAATTTAAGAATTTCACTCAAATTCTCACATGTTCTAAATCTGATTCTACCACTTCATATTTCTTAATCAAGTTGGTGGCAAGTCAAATTCAACTCTCAATTCTCATTATGAGCTTTATTTCGAAATTTCATTCAAGAACTCTTAATCTTTAATTCTTCCTACGTCATTCATCTTGTTGTTTTAAAGCAAATTAAGCTTTCCTTAAGCTTAATTATCATCTCAGGAGCAAAACCAAACTTAAATCTCAACTAATAAACAACTAATAAGAATTCTTACCTTTGCCTTGGTTCATACGCACAAAGAAGAAAGGAGGAGAAGAGTTATTTGGAAGCTTGGATATTTGCTTCCTCACATACACGTGGCCTCCATATATATATATATAACCAAATAATTATTTTCCTTGCAAATGACCATTTTGTCCTTCTATTCTTTCTTCCTTGCAAATTAATCTTATACCAAATTACATACTGCTCAATTATTCTGCTTTAGTCACCACATTCTGAAGTTTTACAATTTAGTCAATAACCCGTATTTTGGGATGTTACAAAATTAATAGTAAAATAATTCAGAATGATCAAAACATAAATAATTAAAAAATTATGTGAATACATTAGAAAATTTGAAAATAGAATTAGTCAAATAAGAGAGAAGATAAAATTCAATCGGAAAAAATATATTTTACCGAGATGTTTCATAGATTGTCAATCCGTGGGAAGGGTTTGGCAGAACAGTTAAAGTTATTATTTTGAATATATAATTTTTTATATTAATTATAATATTTTGTATAATTAACTTTAAGTAAAATGCATATTTTATTTCACAGAATGACATATTTTCAACAATGTCCCATTACATATTTCCTGAGCAACTGCTAAATCTGTTACAAATAGAACATACAATATCAATATTTGGCCAGTTCTAAAATTCTAATGAACTTCTCCATACCTATATTCGTAGTCTTCGTTTTGAACCAACGTAATATGTAGTGGTGTAATCTTTGGAAATTACACGCACAGAATAAAACTCTAGTGCAGATTTAGTCAAGGTAGTTGGGATGCCACTTTTCAGTTTCCTATAACAACTGAACTTTGATTTGTTATAACATAATACAGAGAAAAAGGAAAAATCTAGAATTGAACTTTGATCGTCAGAACTTGCAACATAATATTAAACCTTGATATCGTATTCCTGGTTGCTGCACCGATGGCTATGGTGTTATTCAGGTTCTTACTAGTTTAGTCTAAAAGTTCTTTAGGGATATCAGCACCCTCAAGAACAACCTCCATCTGAATCTCAATTTGACAATGAAATTAGATAACAATTAGCTTTCATTTGACCAATTCTTAAATCATTGTTAATGGGAAATGCTTTCTTACCCCTTCGCAAGCGCAATATTAGGGATCGCCAATAGATGCGCATTCATCTTCTACATGAAAATGACAGAAAAACAGATAAAAAATACATAATAGGATAATGATAGAATAAATATATATTTTGATATCTCAACTCACCTTCAAATTTTAATTTGGTGCTTTAAACTTTTTTTTTTTAATTTAATTAGATACTTTTTAAAATTTAATTTATACTCAAAGTCAAACTTTCCCGAGTCGAATTAGATATCTGAGCATAACTTTTATGTTCAAATTTACTCAAAAAGATTTTAGATGCCGAATTGTAAGTTGAAGCCAACCTCGGGTTCCAAAAAATATATATATTTACTCATGAAAATTTGAGAAAACAAGCGAACTATTCCTAACATGCATGGATCAACACGATGAACGAATTGGAAATGACGAGACAATCGACAGCCCAACGAACGGCGTGAGCTATTCTTGTGTTTGTCAATGGCCACAGCTGTCTGTTGATTGGTGGTGCATAGTCGTCCGATGAAAAGCAAGGAACCATATCTGTAGACACTAAATTTTTGTCTCGTTTTTATTTTTATTATTTTATTATTATAATTATTATAAATATTATTATTATTATTATATTTTTATTATTAATAATAAATAATTTTATTACATTTCATGCCCAAAATACAACCAAATCCGGAGGCCCAACAGAATCCCAACTCGAGCCAGTCCAAAGAAAACCCTAAACCCAACAAGAGTTTCATCATCTCAGCCTCAGTCGCCAATGATCTCAGCCGTTGGATTTGAGAGATCCAACGATCCACAGATGGTTCCAACAAATGAAGCCCTAGGGTTTCATAACCCTAGGTTATCATCTCGCCGCCGCCGCTTTCAGAAGCCCACCGCCGCTCCACTGCTAGATGGTTCAACCACCCACTGTCGACATTTCAGCAGCCCCACGTCTACTCCTTCACTGCCACAATGCCTCCGACGAAGCCTCTAGAAGCACCACGACGCCCCCACGTTGAAGCCCTATGGTGAGTTACCACCATAGCTATGGTGACTCACCAAGCTTCCACCCTTGTGACCGGTCCGAGAGCCACATCGACGAGGCTATAAAAGCTATCGCCGAACCTGCAAAACAAAAAAAAAACACAACACCAATAGCCACGACAAGAGAGGAACCCACAACAACCACCGATAGAAAACAAAAAACGGAGAGAAACAGGAAGCCAGAGAACCAACAACAACCAAAGACCAAACAAAAAAATCGAAGAAAAGAGTGAAAATCTTACCACGGAGGAGAGCAAACGTCACCTGAAACCACCAAAACCTGAAGGTATTATCGTAGATCTACTCCGATTAGGAGCTTTTTAGGAGAAAATAAGGTTTGATTCGGTATTGGGGTCTTTAGCGCTTCATTTTGGTATAAGGTTGTATAGCTCACGGTGGTCGGCGGCGGCGTAAGACGATCGATCGTCGATCGGTTTCCCTCCGATGAGGGAAATCTATATTCTCTCTCAATTAGAGAGAGAATGAAAAGAGAAGAAATGAG